ACCGCGCTGAAGAGATGGTGACTTTGGTTTCAAGCTTTGATGATCTAAAGGATGTAGTCAACCGGTTGAATAGGAAGACCGATGTACTTTTGGGTTGCAGCCGCAGCCGCGGATCATAATGCGCGGAAAGGCACAATCCGCAATATCATCGAGGTCGGCTAGATCACACATGGCCACGCTTGCATCAGGTGAAACTAGGGCCTTGGATCATGAAGTCGATCCAAGGACACAGTCCAGGAATCCACTGTAGAACCCCAGAGTCAACTACCGACAAGAAACTCGGACAGGTTTGCGAAGCAGATAGCAGGGTAAATGGCGAACGCAACTCACCAGCATCACAGTTTGTCAGGCGATCGTTCATCCAGGCAATATAAACCAACTCAGCAAATCGCAGAACTGCCAACCTGTGCGTAGGACGGCCTTCTCCAAGCTCTTCGCAGGTGACAGTGATGTCGCTGAGATAGTTGGTTAGGGGTAGTAGATCCGCCGAGAGCTGGAGATGCCATGGGACAGGGAAGAAGTCGAAAGCACCAGAGCCTCCACCACGGGAGAATTTTCCGCGTGGCGGTGGAAAGGAAAAACACTAAAATAGGTATGAGAAAGGATGGGACATATTGTGAGCTAACTGAGAATGTGAACAGAAAGACGGCTGAGATACGACACAACCAAAGACTGGGGCTCTTTCGCTCTCTCTGCCGCACATTTATTCGCAGGGCATATAATGTCAAACAGAGAGCGCGGGAAGGAAAAACACATTTTACAAACTGTTTAACTCGCAACTTGTTGTTCACTTTAGCCCAGGAGTACACACGCCCAGGATATTTGTTGTTGGAAATGTGCAGTGGAATAAATTAAAATGAAAAATATTTTATCTTACCTCCAGAAATTCACAATGAAGCTCAGAGAAGAGTCTGTTGATTGTATCCTTTGGCGACACTTCAAAGCTGTGCAAAAAAGGACAGGTTACCATGTAAATGACCGCAATCGGACATCACATAGCAGAGCTTAGAACAAAATCAAAAAACTGGGGATAACACTCGTATGTGGAGGGGTGTACGTAGTATTAACTAATTAAGTGTCAGAAAGTGACGTCTATTCCAACATGATTAAACGGCGCAAGGCCTGTAGAAATGTGTGAGGAACCCTTGCGCTATCATTATTAGAAAATATCAAAAATAATCTTTTGTAAGCGTACTCGTCACGTCTAAGCTGGTTTGCTTGTTTTGCCATCGCAATAGTCCACCAACACAAACCGCGGGCTGGAGGCCATGCATCAGCAGTACTGAGGGAGAAGTTGGTATTTTCGGTCCGTGATGCGGTTGCCAAGGGAGGTTCTAGGAATCGAGGTGACGTCTTAGACAGCAGCAACTCCCAGTCCACAGAGGTCCAATCGGATCTGGAATTTCGTAAGCGGGCAGTTCGCAGCCACACCAGTAATAATTCCAGTAGGACAGGAGGAGGCAAAGAACGTTGGCGTGTGTCGCCTGATTTAGTTAAATAAAAATCAGTTATGAATGGCTGGGCGGATGCTGTGCAGTAACTGTACGTAAAAAGCCCACTTACCCCGTGTGAGAGCCTCTAGATAAAAAAGCGTGATCCCCGAAACCAGTGCGGAGGTAAAGAGAGGAGAAACACGAGGCAGATTCAGCAATGGATGTTCGGCGTTCGTGATGTCTGCCAAATCGTGGGACTGGAGAATGGTTCTGCATGAAACGCTAAGGCCTGGAATAGCTAGTGTCTCCGAAATAACCCTTCGAACGAATTTTTTCACTGCTGGTGCGGCCGGTATGGGAAGCTCGCCGGAGTTCAGGTTGATGGGAAGTGATTGCATCGCATTGTATATTTGAGCCTAAGAGTATTGTGGACAAATAGTTTTAAAGCGTCTGCTGACTGCCTGGAAGGGATTTCAATGAACCCAGTAAGCCTAGTTTCCAATATCAATCGCGATTAAGCAGGCTTATCCAGGTTTTCGAATAAAAACGAACGTTGCTGAGGAAACGATTAATTCCCCTTCAACATGGATGGCGTAGTAACTGCACTCAGTTATTAAGAAAAAGGAGAGATGTCTTATGCTGAAAATTGTGATCATATAAAATGCAAACGCTCTCGTTAATGGCTGACCCGAAAGCGTAAAATTTATGTAGCATTCAGCTCACAACCAAGTTCTACGTATAGTAGGCTGCACAAACTGTTAATAATGCACAACTACCGAGCCGTTCGTGGCGGCCAATTTCGATACCAGGGTAGTACTGACAAAGTAGCTAAGGGTTAAATTAATCGGACGTCACCAAGCAAAAAAGGAAACATTGTTAATACAGCTCCGTCGCGTGGGTTAATAACAGTACCCTTGTTTAGGTTTCACTGGATTTTCAGTAGTTACGTTTTCTTTTTTTAAGTCATCTCTTGTAAGGAAAAAAACTAAGCGTGCCTGTGCAGTTTATTTTTGATAAACTGATTACGTAGTCGAATTTACAAAAATTAATAAGAAAAACCGTACGTTATGAATGCTTACAATTAAAAATATGTCGTACAGTCGGAAGAAGTGAACGTACTTTTAGCCTAACAGCTG